GTCTTTAAAATTAAAATGTTCACAATTTTGTGTGTGATTTATTATTATTATTCTAATTATTTATCGTGGCAGAGGCTGGTGTGGTCCACCACAGAGACAGCTGCTCTAGCATGATGACTTTAATTATTCTACAGGTTATTGTTCAGCCTTCTGATGCTCACGCTCACACACACACACGGGTGTTTGTGAGCGGCTGTGTCTGACTGCTGATGCTCTGTTTGTGCTTTTATTTCTGCAGTGAGACAAACTCACCTCACACTGTCCAGAGTTTGTTCTTTAAAGCTTCTGTTAAATCCACCATGTTGACGCATTTCAACATGTTTCCTCTACACTGCAGGAATTAAAGTTTACATCACGGACTAAAAGTTCAGCAGACGCGTTTGTTTATATTTGGCTGCTGCGCGCCGGGTGGGGGAGACTCGTGCTGCACACAGACAGCTGGTGTGATCAGCTTGATTACAATTTGCAGATCACATTTATTTTTCACGGAAATCGGCCACGGATTCCTCTTCTGTCGGCATTTTAGGAATCGAAATTAGAAATCGAAATAAAAAACTTTGAACGATTCTGGGGAAAACGAACAGTTGGAACCGGTTCCAATCGATGCTCGATGCTGCAGATTCTGACTCTAGTAGCATGGATTCTAATGATTGTAAACAGAAAGGAGGGGGTGCTTCGACTTTATTAGAAGTTTTTTTTTTTGGTTTTTATTAACTGTGCAATAGCAAAATAATCATTAGACTAACTGTGTAAATAGTCATTAGAATAGTCATGGATCGGTGAGTGGAAAACTTCAACGACCTCCTCAATCCCACTGTCACATCATCCAGTGAGGAATCAAAGTCTGGGGATTTTGATTTAGACTCTCCAATTTCTGAGGCCAAGGTCACTGAGGGGGTCCAAAAACCCCTCAGTGGCAAGGCCCCAGGGTTGGATGAGATCCGCCTGGAGCTCCTTAAGGTTTTGGATGTTGTTGGGCTGTGTTGGTTGATGCAGCTCTGCAGTATCACGTGGACATCGGGGACAGTTCCACTGGATTAGGAGACTAGGGTGGTGGTCCCCTTATTTCAAAAGGGGGGCCGCAAAGTGTATTCCAACTACAGAGGGATCACACTTCTGAGCCTCCTTGGTAAGGTCTATTCAGGGGAGAGGAGGGTCCCTCGGCTTGTTGAACCTCAGATTCAGGAAGACTAATGTGGTTTTCGTCCTGGCTGTGGAAGACTAGACCAGCTCTATACCTTTAGGGGGATCATGGAGGGTGCGTGTGACCCCAAAATTCCACTATCTCTGCTCCGCTACGCTCCGCTCCGGCACGAACGCCGCAGCAAAAATGGCCCCGTTGTAGTAGGGATGCTCAATTAATCGAATTTTAATCACGATTATGATCTGAATTTTGAACGATTATAAAAACAAAACAAGCCAATTATTTGCTCCTCCCGCTTGCGCTGCCCCGAGTTGCAAATGAAGCGCTCCTCCCACAGTGTTGCCAACTTAGTGACTTTGACGCTATTTCTAGCAGCTTTTCAGACCCCCTTCTTTACTTTTTAACTTAAAAGTACCTAGCAAACACCTCAGAAACATCTCTGGTAACCCTTAGCTACTTTCTGGATAACTGTCGTCGACATTTCCTGCAGATTACCTAAACACTCCGCCTGCGCTCTGGACCGTTCTTCAGGACATTAGGAAAGGGAATGATGCAGTGATGTGTCAGTCGCTAAAGACAGCTCTCGGAGCCGGCTCCCTGTTGGAGTAACCAGAGTGGGTGACACACACACCGTACCTGCGGACTCCTGAGCCACTAAAAACGGTTAAATGTGCGTGTGCAGCGTGCTAAACACACGTGCAGCTTGCCCCGATTGCTGTGAGACCTGGTTGGGAGGTGGGGGGTGCAGCTTTGGTTGGGACAATTATTACATTAACTGATGGACTTGTAAATAAATAGTTTATAAATAAGGTAGAAATAAGTTCCTCACGCTGATAATAACTAATCTCTTTGAGGACACGGTGCTAGTGCGCTCTCCTACAGCACATTGACACAACTCAATAAATGTTATGCAACATTTTGTGAACATCAATTTATTTGCATTTATTTGTTATAATTGCCACTGTATAATTCTTGCTGTCAGTATTTGCAAAATATTGATTTGGGTCTGTACTAGTTACACTTAAATGAGTTAAACCAAGGTCTATAGCCCTTGGGTCATAGACTATGAGCTGTAAGTATATTGGCCTTTTTATACTGGGAATCAGGAGTTCTTTTAGTGATCATCTTGTTTCTTTCTTTTTGTCCTGATTGTGCCCTGAGCAATTTTATGACTGAATAAAAACAAATAAAATCAACATAAATTGAAAAATCGTCCTAAATAATCGTGATCTCAGTTTCAGTCACCATAATCGTGATTATTATTTTTGCCATAATCAAGCAGCCCTACGTTGTAGTCAATCAGAGCTGTTCCACTACTGAGGCCGTGCGGCGCAGTGCGCTGCCCGCCGTTCTGCCATCCAGAAAAAATAGGGTCGATTCTATTTTTGCCGGATGCCGGAGCACCTCCGCAGTCAATTGACAGAAATCATAACCGCCCAACAGGAAAGGGAGCAAGCACAACTTCCGTTATTTCACAGTAAATCCATAAACAAAAAGCATTTTTTGTTTCACATGCACAGGTTTAACAACTTTTAACAACTATCAATGGCGGTTGAACTTTAAATGCACAAAAATAAGCCATAAATACAGTTTCCACTATCAAAGTAGTCACACTTTGTTGATCCAAACACTGCTGATCTCTCAACACAAATGATAGGCAGTTTAAACGTTCATTTCGATGCTCCTCCCACACAACGGATGTTTGGATCTAACTTTCGCGTTTATTGCTCGGACTGTATCGCAAGACCTCTAAAATCCCGTGCATGCCTGTTTGCGCACATCAGGTCTCCGCACCGGAGCGGAGCCATTGTAGAGCGGGTACAGTATAATTTCAGTTCGGAAGCGAGCGGCAGCGGAGGGTGGGCGTGGAGCGGAGATAGTGGAATTTTGGGGTGAGTTCGCCAAATCAATCTACATGTGATTTGTGGATTTGGAGGAGGTGTTCGACCGCGTCCCTCGGGGGGCCCTTTGGGTTTACTCCAGGAGTAAGGGGTACCAGGCCCCCTGATGTGGGCTGTTAGGTCCCTTTATGACTGGTGTCAGAGCTTAGTCTGCATTGCCGGCAGTAAGTCGAGCTCATTTCCGGTGAGAGTTGGACTCCGCCAAGGATGCTCTTTGTCACTTATTCTGTTCATAACCTTTATGGACAGGATTTCCAGGTGCAGCCAAGGTGTTGAGGACATCCGTTTTGGTGCCCTGAGGATCAGGTCTCTGCTTTTTGCAGATGAAGAGGTCATGTTGGTTATCAGACAGTGATCTTCAGCTTTTGCCAGAGCAGTTCGCAGCCGAATGTGAAACGGCTGGGTTGGGAATCCATCCATCAATTTTCAGTTGCTTATCCGGATTCGAGTCGCAGGGGCAGCAGCCTAAGCCAAGATGCCCCGCTACTTGGGCCAGCTCTTCCAGGAAAATCCCAAGGCGTTCCCTGGCCAGGTGAGAGACATAGTCCCTCCAGTGTGCCCTGGGTCTTCCCTTTAGGTCTCCTCTCAGTTGGACATGCCCGGAAAACCTCACCAGGGAGGCGTCCAGGAGGCATCCTGACCGAAAGAATGAGATCCTGCCCGAGCCACCTCAACTGGCTCTTCTCGACGTGAAGGAGCAGCAGGTCTACTCCGAGCCCCTCCCTGATGACCGCAAACAAAACTCATTTCGGCCGCTTGTATCCGCAATCTCATTCTTTCGGTCACTACCCAAAGCTCGTGACCATAAATGAGGGTAACATAGATCGACCGGTAAATCGAGAGCTTTGCCTTCCGGCTCAACTCTCTCTTCACCATGACAGATCGGTACCGCCTATCTATCTCACCTACCAGTTTTCCCTCACTCGTGAACAAGATCCCGAGACTCCTCCACTTGAGGCAGGACCTTGTGCCAGTCCTTGAGAAGGCATTCCACCCATTTTTGGTTTTCGGGATGAGAATCAGCTCCTCTAAATCTGAGACCATGGCCTTAAAGCCGAAAATCATATATAGTTGAAAATCTAAATATTGTGAGCCATTATCTTTTGCCTGACAGGGTTAGGATGACAAGGAATGATGGTTTAAGGCAGGACTATTCAGTTCCGGGTGATGATGGCTGGTACCCATCACATTTTAGTTTTAACCTTGCTTCAACACACCTGATTTCAATCACCAGGTGATTAACAGGCTTCTGCACAGCCTGAACTGCTGCACAGGTGACTCAACCACTTAATCTAGTGTGTTGGACCAGAGAAATCACTAAAACGTGCTGAATACCAGCCCTCAAGGCCCAAACTTGAATAGCCCTGGTTTAAGGTTTCCTTTTATCCTTGAAGCTGTGAAATTTGTTTCACAGCTTCAGGGGATTGCGAATTTTCAGAAAACATTTTTATGTCAAAGGGGTTATTGATGCTTTTGACTTGTGTGTTTCGTAATATCAACAACAGTAAAAATAAATAATAATACTAATTTAAAATAAGAAATTATGAACTATTTTAGTGCAATAAAATACACTTTTGTATGAGTGCCAGGCAGAGTCTAAAGTGACTTTCATTATTGGGAAAATAATATTTCTGTTGGATTCCTTAAAATTTTGTTAAAGACATTTTGACTTAAGTTTTGGTCTCACTGAATGTCCTATTATTGGTAGAACTTGGTCATTGTGTGAATAAGACCCCAGCTTTGGATTATAGGACTGTATTTTTGTGTGACTACCAAGTTTACTCTTAGGAGTAATCTGAAACCTTATTAAACAACAATAATTTTAAATGTTCCATTAGACCACACACCACATTTGTAGGTATATAGGAGTTTCAAATTAAATTACTACATCAACTCCGTAGAAACAGCAATACAGAAAGAGTTTTTAAAGAATTTTTCCATATTTCTTTTCACAGGAGATGGTGTCCCAAAGGAAAACAGTCCTTTTATCAACAACTCAGACCACGACAAGGGCAACAGCTATGATGGCACCAACATGGCACTTTTTGAGGTAACTGTTACATGTCAAGTTTTTTCAAGTCAAGTTTATTTATATAGCGCCAAATCACGACAAGAGTCGTCTCAAGGCACTTCACATGATAAAACATTCCAATACAGGTCAGTTCATTAAGCCAATCAGAAAAAAAGTTTCCTATGTAAGGAACCCAGCACATTGAATCAAGTCGTGCCAGTGACTTTATAGCAATCCTCATACTAAGCAAGCATGCAGCTACAGTGGAGAGGAAAACTCCCTTTTAACAGGAAGAAACCTTCAGAGGATCCTGGCTCAGTATAAGCAGCCATCCGCCATGGCATCCGCCATGACTCACTGGGGATCGAGATGACAGAGCACACACACACACACACACACACACACACACACACACACACACACACACACACACACACACACACACCCACACACCAAGTAGTGTTTCTATGGTTACATTGCGATTTTTAGTGACTATTCTATTTGGTGGGAGATTAACTTTATTGTATTTATCCTAGTGAATCTATAATTAAAGGGTGAACTAGTAGTAGCACATTCAATGTCAAGGAAAGTAAAATGTTGTTATCAGGAGAGGGAAAATGTTTAAATGTTTAGCAACAGTGAGGGCACCACAGCTCAGCAGAACATCATTGTAGCTTCTTCTGGGTAGAAAAACACTTATAGAAAAAATAAAGTTTAACAGCTGAAATAGCAGGAAATAATGCAGTTAGAGAGCAAATTGTAAAAGAAATTAGTCGAGTGTGGAAAGTGGTCATTGTGTCCTCCAGCAGTCTAAGCCTATAGCAGCATAACTATAGAGATAACTCTGGATAACCTAGCCTTTTAGATGGAGGCATGTTGGAGGCAGGTCAAGGGAGAGCCGTCTTTACCGACTGTACACTCCACCTCCCTCTACTCCCCCACTTGCCCAGATCTAGGCTAACATCAGATTTTAACCATAGGTCCTATCAAATAAAAATGTTTTAAGCCTAGTTATAAAGTAGACAAGGTGTCTGCCTCACGGACTAAAGCTGGGAGTTGGTTCCACAAGAGCCTGATTGCGAAAAGATCTGCCTCCCACCCTATTTTTAGATGTTCTGGGAACCACCAGTAAACCTGCAGTCTGAGAGCGAAGTGCTCGGTTAGAAACGTATGGAACAATCAGGTCACTGATGTATGATGGAGCTTGATTATTAAGAGCTTTATTTGTGAAAAGGAGGTTCTTAAAATCTATTCTGAATTTAATAGGCAGCCAATGTAGGGAAGCTAAGACAGGAGAGATATGATCTCTCTTTTTAATTCTCATCAGAACACTAGCTGCAGCATTTTGGACAAGCTGAAGACTTTTATTTACATTTGGTGGACTTCCTGAGAGTAATGAATTACAGTAATCCAGTCTTGATGTAATAAATGCATGACCTAGTTTTTCAGCATCACTCTTGGAAATGATGCATCTAATCTTCGCAATATTCCGACGGTGGAAAAAGGAAATCCTACAAACCTGTTTAACGTCGGATTTGAATGCAATTTCCTTTTCTGAATTTCAGGTCCAAAGATGAGAACTTCAGTCTTGTCTTGATTTAAAAGCAAAAAGTTTTGAGTCATCCAATTTTTTATTCAAGACAAGCCTGTAATCTAACTAACCGATTAGGTTCATCAGGGTTAATGGATAGATATAACTGAGTATCTTCCGCATAAGAGTGGAAGTTTATCGCATGCTGTCAAATGATTTTAAAAATTGGGAGCATATATATATATTAGGGCTGCACAATATATTGAAAAATTATCGTCATCGGGATAACAGAACGTGCGATAGGCCCATCGCAAAGCATGTCAAAAACGGCGATAAATGTTTGGTTCAACATTTCCATCCGTGTCATACATCAACTTTTGGTAAACCAGCTCTGCTGCTCAGCTCTGAAGTATTATTTGACCAATCAAATGTAGCCCTTCTGATATGCGGCCAATCAGATGGGTCCGTTCACATAATACGCCCGCCCCCTACGTAGACCTTAGGATGGAAAGCAACCAAGCAACACCCGAACATTAGTGACGCCATTCCCTTGTTCGTCATGCTGGCTCAGAGTAACGAACGGACTTTGTGCTGAGGTTTCTGGAATCAGCCCTGCTTTCAAACGTGAACGTGAGTCCGCTCTCTGTGTCGTTAATTATTTTTACCGGGCTGACCGACGCATGCCGGTGAACCAACCCACCTTCATGTCGCTAGTGTTCCACCGGGTGGTGATGTTAGCCCCAGGCTCCGGTTAGCTTCCAGCTAAAAGGCTACAGCACTCTCCTCCCAGTGTCAGTACCCAAGCCCCCGGACCGGCCTCTCCCAGCTAACCGGCCTCCATCTTGGACCACATTTCCCAGCATGCTCCTCGCGGGAACTCCCGGTATTCTCCCAGTCACACCCAAGCCTATATATGGAAGACGCCGCACCGGCTCTTCACTCAGTCATCGTTTCATTGAAACCCATGATCAGAGTTCTCTACCAAATAATCCAGACATCAAACATCCTTACCAAGCTCAACTCCCGTACCCAGTCGACCATCGTGACAGGATGACTAAGTCTGTAGATCCAGCAGAGTTCGAGCGCACGAAAAGAAAGATGGAGCAAATGGAGAATGAACTCATTCAGCTCCACACCCTGATCGATCGGCTCAACACCAAACAAAACTCCCAGACCGATCTCATCCTGCAATTATCCACAGCCCTCCATGCTCTCCAGCAGCAAGCCCTCACTCAACCAACAGAGGGGCCGCACTTCAGTCTCCCGCAGAGGTGGAATGGAGAGACGGGGAGCCCAGACGGTCTGCTCGCCACCCTTGACATGCAGTTTGAGTGACAGCCAGGACGCTTCCCCACTGCGCGCTCTCGGGTGGCACATCTCACCTCCCTGCTCTCCGGACGCACGGCTGGGTGGGCCGCTGCGCTTTATAATTCCAAGTCACCGGCTTGCAATGGCTATGCTGCTTTTGTGTTCGCCCTCAGAAAGACTTTTGTTCCACCCAGCAGCGAAGTGGGAGCAGAAGCACAACTCCTAAAGCTCCGCCAGCGGGAGCGCGCGGTGTGCGCTTATGCGTCGGAGTTCCGCACCATCTCCGCCAAGCTGCGGTGGGATCACTCTGCCCTCCGAGCCGTCTTTTTGGAGGGACTGGCGACCTACATCCATGACGAGATGGCGGGAAAGGAACTGCCCCAGACCCTGGATGAAGTGGTCGATCTGGTGCTGCGCATCGATCAGCGGGTTCTGGTTCGGCCCAAGCCCTTCACTCGCCTATCCAGGGCGCGTGGACCTCTTCCTCGTTCCCCCACGCCTGCTCCCGGACCCACTTCTACTGATAAGCCCATGCAATTAGGCCACCTTCCTCCAGAGGAGAGACAGCGACGGTGGCGTGAGGGTCTCTGTGCCTATTGTGGCTCCTCCCACCACAGACGCCTGAACTGTCCCTTATGTTTGGGAAACGAAGGAACCCACCTAGTATCCGGGTCGCTCAGCCTGGGTCACCTTCAGCCCCTGCCTTTTTAAATCGACTCCTTCTTCATGTCACCCTCCTTCATGGTGAGACCTCACTTCAGATGCACGCACTGGTGGACTCGGGGTCCGCTGACAATTTTATGGACATAGATCTGGCTAAGCGCCTACGGATCCCCATGACCCCCTTGGAGAGAGTTGTGCCAGTGACCTTGGTGGACGGTAGGCCCCTCCAACCCTATCCGGTCCAAAACCGAACCCAGCCACTCCAGATGATCGTCCAAGGCCACCGAGAGACCCTCCAGTTCCTGATCATATGTGCTCCCTCCTCTCCTCTAATCCTGGGATTTCCCTGGCTCCGTCTCCATGACCCCTGGATTTCCTGGTCCCAGGGCCGCCTTTTGGAATGGGGGACCCGGTACCAGGCCCACCTCTCTCCCCCTCCATCCATGCTAGACCGCCCGGACGGTGACCCTGGCCCAACACCGCCCAATCTGCCACTGCCCTACCGGGACCTGGCTACGGTGTTCGACAAGCGGCGCACCACCACACTGCCGCCTCACCGCCCGTACGACATGGAAATCAAGCTGCAACCAGGAACCAGTCCACCCGGTGGCACCTTTTTTCTCTCTCTCCCGCCGAGTCCAGAGCCTTGGAGGATTATATCGACCAGGCCCTCCAGCAGGGTTTCATCCGACCTTCCTCCTCCCCGGGTGCCGCAGGCTTCTTCTTTGTCAGGAAAAAGGAGAGTGATCTCCGCCCCTGTATCGATTACCGAGGTCTGAACAAAATCACAGTCAAAAGACCGTCATCCTCTGCCGCTCCTCACGTCTGCCCTGGACGCCATCTCCCAGGCGCGGATCTTCACCAAACTGGACCTCCGGAGCGCCTACAATCTGGTCCGTATTAAAGCTAGAGATGAGTGGAAGACCGCGTTCATCACACCCACGGTCATTGGGAGTACCAGGTCATGCTCTTCGGGCTGTGCAATAGCCCCGCCGTTTTTCAACGCCTCATAAACGATGTCCTCCGCGACATGTTGGGACGGTGAGTGTTTTCCTACCTGGACGACATCCTGATCTACTCCAAGTCCGAGGCCAAACACCTCCACCATGTTCGCGCGGTTCTAACCCGGCTCCTGGACAATAACCTGTTCTGTAAGCCAGAGAAGTGTTCCTTCCACCAGCGGTCCGTATCTTTCCTGGGCTACATGATTTCGGATAAAGGACTAACCATGGACCCTCAGAAAGTCCAGGCGGTGAGAGACTGGCCCCTCCCAACAAGCGTGAAACAACTGCAGAGTTTTCTGGGTTTCTGCAACTTTTACCGCCGTTTTATTAGGGACTTTAGCACCATTGTGGCACCTCTCACTTCTCTCACCTGACCAAGCCCTCCCGGCCAACCGTTCTGGCTGACTCCAGATGCCATTCGGGCCTTCCAATACCTAGTTGCCCATTTCACGTCGGCTCCTATCGTCCGCCATCCGGATCATGCAGTCCCCTTTGTGGTCGAGGTCGACGCCTCGGATGTCGGCGCCGGTGCC